CGAAAGGGCAGTCAGGCACTGGAACAGGCTGCCCAGGGAAGTGGCTGAGTCTCCATCCCTGGAAGTATTTAAAGGACAGATAGATGTGGTGCTTGAGGACATGGTTTAGTGATGGACTTGGCAGTGACAGGTTAACAGTTGGACTCGATGATCTTAAGGGTCTTTTCCAACCTTAACGATTCTATGGTTCTATGATAAAAGCCCATGAGTTTTAGCTACAGAACTAACCTAGTGTGAGGGTGTAAAAATTTTAACTAAATAACTATTCAGATTCTTTGCTTTACAGAAAGAGGCACAGAGAGCCAAGCCAGAGTATCACCTTCAAATTTTACTAGTTGTTGTTGGCAGGTAGATGAGTGTGCTAACAGACTCCAGCTGCTTCTAATGAACTGCAGGTTCAGCTGCCTACCTAAGGAGTATCCCAGCGACAGGATCATTCTGGGTATGGAACCGTGCCACTAGAAATAAAGCCAGCTATCTGCAAAATTTCATTTTCCACCAGAAAAGTCATGGTCTCAGTAGGTTGATACTGCAATCCGTATTTCGTATTAGTTCTCCCCAATGCTCCACTTGGATCATGCAGCAGGCACTGGAAGGGCACATGTCTTATTAGTGCCTGTTCGCCAAGGGAAGCGAGGAGTTTAACTCCTCTTGGCATTACTTTACTGCATTAATGAACAAACACCAACTCTGAATGATTTTTAAAGAATGCTACAGAAAGCTAGCAACTATCTATAATCCTTAAGAAATATCATGGAGAAGTACATTTATGGCCCTCCCTAGACCACAGGCATCAGGAGTTTGTACAGTGAGCTTTGTGGGAATTAAAGTTAAGGAAAAGAACACAGAGCGGCAAACTCCAGCCCAGTATCTCTGCTTTTGAATGTTCCCAAAGAAGCTAAATAAAGCCATCCTTTGACAAAACAAAACAAAACGAAGGTTCTCTCTGCAAGTTTAACTTAATGGCAGCACAGTATACAAAAAGTATTAATCACAGTGCTTTCTGTAACAAAATAAAACTTCACTCTTGTGTAACTTCTGACTAATTCAATGTCTCATTTGCATTTTAGTCCCATTTTATACCATTTCAGTCTCACCTACTGAAGTGACAAGAGCAATGGTTATCTTAAATAAATATGTGGACACACATACACAAACCACCCTAAGACCTCCTGTGCAAAGGGAGAAATGAAAACAAAAAACCCAACAGTTTATCAGTTTAAGGGGAATGAGTTATTCCTTTTCAAAGTGGGAAATGGCTCACCTTACTGAACCTTTAAGCAAATTAACCGACCTCTACCCCTAGCATCTCCTACCAATTCAGTGCCTCATGGCTCTGCTTCCCATGTTGAAAACTGTTCTCTCTCTTTCTTACTCCTATCATTATCTGATCCAGAGCTTGGCTGTGCATTATTGAACAGAAGCCTTCAGAAAACCCATGTAAGGAGGGAGTCGGATTGCCTGCTTACTTAAGCAAAATACAAAGATTATAACCCACGCAGTCCAAGAGATGAATACGGAGCATTTGGGGAATTAGCTAAGTAAAGGGCATGAAGCATAGAAGACAGAATTACAAACATGATAAACTTGGCTGAGTACATGAAGCTGAAGACTATTTATTTGTACTCACCATGTGAACCATTATACATATTGCTGCATTGAGCCAGTGAGCGAAAGAATCTATGTAGTACCATGGGCTTCCTCTCATTTCTCATATTAAACAGTAAATTATACCCTGTAATTTCTGAGAATTAAGGTACAGGAAGGGTGTTAATGGTGGGAACAAGCAGGTAACCTTCAATTACCAACAAAATTATATATTACAAAGTCCTCTGTACACAGAAATGTACGTTTCTATCTAAACACTTGGATATGCCACAACTTTGATGATCATGCTGTCAGTTGAAATAAATAGCACAGTATGCATTAGCAAGGTCTAAAATCTGTCACAGGCAGGACGAAGGCAAGACTGATTCCAGTTACTCTTTATTAGCTACAGAAAGTCCAATTTTTTATTTATATATATAAATAAATAAATAAATAAATAAATAAATATACATAAAAGCACCTGTAAATCAGCTGTCTGCAACATTGCCATACATCAGAAGTCTGATTCTTGGCATGAGCAATTCTGTCTGGAGAGTCACCTCCTAGCAGCTGCTTACCTGCCAGCAATCATGCCAGAAGTAGATTAGTTCAAAGGGAATTCCCCATGAGGTAACTTATTCTCCTCAAGATTAAATGCAGTGAACATTTAAGCCATTTTAGTATCTGCAGCTATGCATGTGTCTGCATCAGTAACAGGTTTCAGAGAAGGGTAAGAAAAAAAGGGAAAAACCACCCTACTATCAGATTTTAAAAACTGATGAATCTCTACTAAAACATCAAGGAAACTTCATACAGAATATTGTTGCTGCTCTTGGCCACACCAGAGCAAGGCATGGCAAGACTTCACCATACTGAGTTTCAGGAATTCCTGAGATTTGGGAACCCAGTCTCTACTGGTTTTTATTTATTACTATCCTAGAAACACTCAGCTCATAAACACACAGAAGTTCAACCTAGTTAGTTACAATCAAATGCTGTATTAAAGGAATAATTTAGCAAAGGCAGAAAGAAATATTCCTGATTAGTCAATTGTGGCATTACTGTCTTTTTTTTTTTTCCCTCCCAGTCTCGTTTTTCCATCCAGTTAACAGCAACAGTCCCTTGGAGATCTCGTTACAAAACCAAATGCAGCCATCATTAATTCGACAATAATTTTTTTTCAATAACAGCAAGTGAACAACTCACCCCTACATACCTTCCAAATTTCATTTACTTCACACTGTGTTAACATCAGAATTATGATTTCTCTTACAAATCACGCTATGGAATAGCGATGCTGCTGATCCA